GGGGTATCTAATGGAGTGCGATTGGTTGGATTCACTTGAAGTTACAACGGATTCACTTGAAGTTGAAAAGGTATAATGTCAACGGGACAAATAGGAAGCGATAGAGTGGGCAGTGAGTCGAAAGAACACAAAATGATTCTAAGGAGAAGAATCAACAGTGAAGATGTTTATCTCCAATTTTGAGTGTCTCCGAACGGGTAGGAGTTTGAACCTCGAGCCATGAGGATCGGTGCACACCAGTTTCATCAATCTGAACCATCTACAATCGACTGAAAACATAGAGGATATTACGGACTACAGAGATCGTGTTTGATATATTGCGTGATACTCGGATTAAAGCTAAAGGCAATGTTACACTTATGGAAGACATCAAAATTGCTGAATTTCAATGTAAATTGATGAAAGTAATATTTAATTGCATATCCTAACTGATTACGTTCTCAGTAACGCTTGACGCTCTCACCATCGTTTTGTTCAGAGCAAGCGTAATGCATGCACTCAACATAAGATGGCTTCACTGGCCTAAACCCAGAATAGCTTGTCTGGTTTCCCCATTAGACTGCTGCATGGTCAGTGGTGTCTTTTTTAACAATTTGAAATCCGTCGACTTCGGCGAGTCCTGACAAACCTCTAAATGGATTCCATAGCGCGTGAGCAACTAAATGTGTTATGCATGTACCAGATAGGTTGCCACGGTGAGCGATGTTCGGCGAGGCAGGTAGTGGGTGGAAGAATGTCAAGGGTGGCCAAGCTAAAACCTGGAATGAGGGTATGAAAACCCTAACTAGGAGTCTGGGTCACAGAGATCCCGTTAGGCTCCCTGGATGGGTCCTCGGGATGATCATACCGATGGTTAGAGACACTGAGTGATATAGCTGGGTGTCGTAAGCAGTGGCGTTCGTGCATCTTGTCGATTTCTCTGCAAAATCAGTGCAATGAAATCCTAAATTTTCTCTCCCATTCTACTTTCAACCTTTCATGTCTTTCTCCTCATGTTCATCCAAATGGGAAGCCAAGAGATAGCAAGCAAATCCGGACCATGATAGTGCATGGTTAATGGTTGTAGAAACTGAAACTGGTTAAAGTGGAGGACTTATTGCTGCAACATTCGTGTATTGATGTATCGTGGCACAGAGAATGTACCGGTACAATCTAGTGTAAGTTTGCAATAAAGCACGAAGACCATATAAACCGACGAGCGTAATAACGTACCAACGGAACGAAAACGAAAAGCGGAAGGATAAAGTCTGAACCAACTGTATGAAACGAATGTCATAATGCGTTGGTACCGAGATAACAGTTCGTGGATTTCAAGAGAAAGTTCTGCTCGGCAAATCCCATATAATGTCTGGATTTCTCAGTACAGTCGAATCACATTACAAAGTCATTGATCACTGGATTTCATTTCGTTATTTGTTTTTACATCATGATGCTGCTATACCATTGAAATTTGGCCGTTGGATACATCAGTATGCTGTCATCTCTTCTGTTTGTATGGTTTGCATATGCCCCAATCCGGACTGGTTGGTTCGTATATGTAAGTAATGCTGAACTGGAATACTTTTTTGTCCTTTCTTGTACCGAGCCTTCGAATCAGATCGCAATAAGTTATGTAACTGACGACAGCTCTATCCCGTCGGATCGCACTTGCGTGATGTTTTCGTCTGCTTCACAAGTTTTGCCCAAACTAGTTATACTTCCCCTTTATTGAAGCTAATCAAGGAAGCTATGCAAATGTCGATAAAATTAACGTCGGACCCTGCCGCCTCGGCTGCCCTGCTGGACGCCTGCAGAACCCTCCCTCCGGATGCCACTTATGACAGCGCGCAAATCCCTCAAA